GTAATCCTATAATTATAATAGCATATAAAATTATAAATTTATAAGTTTACGTTACATTTACAAAATATAATATGATATTAAATTAATGAATAAATAAAATATTACGAGAGAATTCTTAAATAAAAATAATTAATTATATAATAGCACATCATGTTATACATTTATAATATTATGTAATATTGTAATTACAACATTTTTATTTATATTTTATACATTATATTTATATAAAATTTTAACAATTTATCTCGATATTTTTAATAATTGAGATTTATTATAATTTTTTTAGATAAAAATATAATTATTTTTAGTAAATATGATAAAAAATAAATAATTGAAAGTAAAAAAAAAAAAGAATGCTTAAGATTTTGTGTAAATGTATATGATATATAAGATTTATGTGTAAGTGAATTTTTATTTTATATTTTTTTAAAATAAAATAAAATTTATTAAAAATTAATTAAGAGAGTAAATAATAATTTAAAATATACACGTAATGATAAATATGGGCCAACGATGACATACAGCACCAGAAGTGATGCATTGCTTTCACAAGGGCAGTGGTTCCCGAATTAAATATGGCCAACTGTCACATTATAAGCTGTGTCGGGCGAATCCCTCTTTAAAGGAGTACCATGCATATATATATATATATAGGGTGGTATTTTATTATATTTTTTATTATATTTTTAATTTATTAAAATATAAAATATAAAAGAAACTGGTCCTTTGGGTCAAATAACTTTGACCACGTTTGTAAGGTTCATATTTCCTTTCTCCAAAGCAACTGTTGGAGCCGGCTCATGACAAAATGTTCAAAAAAAATATATATATAAAATATTGAAAAAAAAAATATAAAATTATAATAAATAATTATATTAAAAAATATAATATTAACTATTTAAATTTAAGAGAGTAAATAATAATTTAAAACATACACGTAATGACAAATATAGGCCAATAATGACGGACAGAACCAAAAGTGATGCATTGCTTTCAGAGGGGCAATTCGTTCCCGAATTAATAATGGCCAACTGCATGCATTATAAGCTATGTCGTGCGATTCTTCTTTAAACTTTGATGGATGGAGTACCATATATAAATAAATATATATATATGGTGGTATTATTGTAATATTTTTGATTATTGACATTATATTTTTTATTTTAAAATCTTTTTGTATTTGATTTAAAATTTGAATTTAAAGTATTAATTTTTTAATTTAAAAATATCAATTTTAAATCTTTTATATTTAAAAATATTAATTTTTAACTTTTTTTTATTTAAGGATTAATTAGATGGTGATGTTGGGAAAACTATTTAAAAAAGTTAGATATAAAATAAAACATTGCTTGTAAAATTGAAATATAGATAGTGTTGGGTTAGTTGTGTGAAACACTAGTCTTACTTGCTTGATCTTATTGTCATGTGTTTATAGCATCTTAATAGCATGGTGGAGTTGTGTTGGTAGTATCTTGAAAACCAACGACAGTATGACATATGCAATAAACTAACCAATTTATTGGTGTTGTCGATTATGCTTCTAGAAGTACGCAACTACTGAATTGCTTTGTCAATGATGTGGCAACAAACATTCATATTAATTCTAGAGAAAAATCAATCATTGAGTTTGACTCGGTTAATGAAATCACCATATGACAAATGTTGGTAGCAAATTTTTTGACTCTTTCAAATTCAAAACAAACGGAACACGTTAACTCCTTTAATTAATTTACAAAAATGGGTGTAAATAGTTTCTAAATAAGAATATCAATTTAATTTTTTAATTTAAAAATATCAATTTTTAATCTTTTATATTCAAAAATATTAATTTTCAACTTTTTTTATTTAAGAATTAATTAGGTGGTGATGTTGAGAAAGCTGTTTAAAAAAGTTAGATCTAAAATAAGGCATTATTTGTAAAATTGAAATATAGATAGTGTTGGGTTGGTTGTGTGAAACGCTAGTCTTACTTGCTTGATCTTATTGTCATGTATTTATAGCATTTTAATAGCATGGTGGAGTTGTGTTGGCAGTATCTTGAAAACCAACGACTATATGACATATGCAATAAACTAACCAATTTGTTGGTGTTGTCGATCATGCTTCTAGAAGTACACAACTACTGAATTGCTTTATCAATGATGTGGCAACAAACATTCACATTAATTCTAGATAAAAATCAATCATTGAGCTTGACTCGATTAGTGAAATCACCATATGACAAATGTTGGTAGCAAATTTTTTGACTCTTTCAAATTCAAAACAAATGGAATACGTATCTCCTTTAATTAATTTACAAAAATGGGTGTAAATAGTTTCTAAATAAAAATGTCAATTTTTTATTTTTTATTTAAAAATATCAATTTTTAATTTTTTATTTAAAAATATCAATTTTTAATTTTTTATATTAAAATATTAATTTTTAATTTTTTCAATTTAAAGATTAATTAAATGGTAATATTGACATGTAATATTGATGT